CGCTGACATTGAATCTGGATTTGAATACCTTTAAGTAATTGTGAGAGAGTAGAGAGAGAGAGAGAGAGAGATATTGATCGCGGCTCTTCATCGGTGGACTTTCCATCCATGAGCGAGTTTCTGTTCGTTTCGTCCATGAAAAGACGACGATCTTTGAAGGATTCCTGAAGCATTCTTAGGTGGTATTTTGAAGCCACGTTTAAAGCCATGGGTCATTGTACGGAGTGACTCTAACGTCGGGGAGACCGGGTCAAGATGACTCGAGGGTCACGTTGCCTGTGCGTTTCGTTTACGTATTTATCGTGAGAGAAACAGTGGAAAAGAGGATTCGCGAAGTGTTTCCTTTAGAACGCAGCTGCCTCTCGTTGCACTCGCGATTCCTTTTACATCGATTCTCTCGCAACAGATATTAAGCAAATTAATTCAGTGCCAATCCTCTCGTTACCAAAAATCAAGGTTTATTTGTCGATGGAAGGCGCGCGTTATTTTAATCATCGAAAGTTGAATTCCATTGCGGCTTATTATTATTTTTGTTATTATTGATCATTCCGCGATGTTACGTAGGGTGCTCTGTAAACATAAATCAGGCAGCTCTTCGAAAACCGAAGTTGAGCGGAAAAAGATCGGGGATTTAAAATTATCATCCATTCATTTACGGAAAGATTCCCTCTGGTACATCGTACACAAGTAAAGATTCAATAATTTAGAAAGCAAGAAAGAACAATGAAAAAAGAAAAGAAGAAACGATGCCAAAATTTACATTAGAAAAAGATGACCATTTTTTATCAATTTCTCATGATAATCGCCTCAAGTGAGGATAATGACGAGTGATAAAAGTCGGTTGTCAAAATGTCTATCAGAAATTTAGCTGAAGGGCACCGAATTGATTCACACCTAATACATAAACGACTCGTACGGTCAACATGACCCCAACTTGACCCTGTCACTCCCCCCAAATGGTACAGATTGGAGCAGTTCGAGCACCTTCTCCCGCCAAGCGGACGTCATTATCGAGATGCGCCTTTTCGTACTTAGGTTCTTACCCACACCCCGCGTTATCCGAAGGGAATCAATTTACTCGACCTTCGCGAACACGTATCGAGCCAGCATCTGGACGGTGGCGCGTCAGCACCGCTCCCACACGCTCTCGCAGGCGGACCGCCGCGTCATTCCCCGTACGAAACGCCGTACACACGGTATACCGGTAATTGGCCGACGTTGTAGCCGGCGGAGTCATAACGACACACACGCCGAGCTATCGAATCGAACACGTCGCGTTTTCCATAAGCGATAAGCGATCGCGCGCGCGGTCCACGCGCGTGAGAAGATGCACCACGCGGAAGCGGCTTAGAGAGCCGCGGCGCGCCACGACGGAACCTAAATACCTATCGCCCGTTAGGCGTGTGCACGCTCGCGCGTTTGCACGCTTTGGCGTTTGCACGCGCGCGTGTGGAGGTGAGATAAAACGCACGCGGTCCACGTCGCGAGGTCGCGGCGCGTGAGACCGCTGCATGCTACGAGGGAGGAGGAGGAGGAGGATCGGCGCGAGCAACGTTCGTTTGCACGCTCGCACCTGACTCACCTCGCCGCGGCTCACGTCGCACACGCACACACGGCCGCGCGCTACGTGCGCACACGTGTTTACGGTATTTGATCGTCGTTCACTTAGCACGGCCCAGTGACCCGTATAACCTAAGGTCTGCTTATGATCGAAGAGGTTTCCGTGTATCTCTCCCTTAACGGGACGGTACGGGACCCCGCGTGTTGCATCTCACGAGGATCCTTTCGGTGGTAGCGGCGCGAGCGCCGAGCTCCGCTAAACGATATTCAAATCGATCTGATGAGGCGACTCTTCGTCCCGACGACCGTGCGGACTCGCCTAGAAAACAGCGATTTCCTCTCGCCGTGCGTGTGGACATTCCATTCGATTCTCTCGTCTGAAAGTCTAGAGTCGCGCTTGTGTCGTAAAGCGGGAACCCGAAATTTGGACGTTCTTAAGGAGACTTCGCGGCTATTCGGTCGCGATCTCCACCACCGTCCGCGCGTGTCGAAAAATTTGAAATTGGGTCACGCTTCGGTCGCGCCGGCCGATAAAATATTCGTACGCCCGGTTTTAAATGCCGGCGACTTTAATGCATGTAATTCCCCCGATGATGATATATTATAATCTTTTTATAGCTGATGCGCGCGAGCGAGCGAGCGAGCGAGCGTGTACATTAGTTAGCGCGTGATTTAACTTTCGTTTCCCACGTTTGCCTCCCCGGTCGATCGATAACTCAACGTTCGAAGCCGGGGAGTTGCAAAAATGTCAATATGCTCGGTCTGACGTATTTGCATCCGCGTGAAAAAAAGAAACAATAAATTCCCCGTCGTCGTTATTCTACTCGACAAACCGTTCACTTCGCGTGGATGGAAAAGCGATTATCATCAATTATTGGGACACGTTGCGGGATATTTTTACTTTGAAATTCTAGACCACCAACCGAGTTTTCCGATTCAGAGAGTTTCCCCGCTTTTGTATTCTACCGTTTCACGATACTCCCCTCGTTGGGAAATTTCTTAAAGAATCCGTTTGTATCCTGCTCGTCTCCTTGCCCCCCCTCTCTTTTTCGATCACGATCGCGAAACGTCTCGCTGAATGAAACGTGCCGCGCGCGAGGCACGAGATAGTAGATATTCCAAGTCGCGCGATGCGCATCCGCGTGTCCGTTCCTCGCGTATTTGCCTAGAAATCGCGGCGTCGTGCGTGCCTCTCGGGCGCGAGATCTATGCGTGAGATAGAACGCGCGCGGGATCCGATACGCGAAATTCGCTGCCCGGCTCCCACGTCACATCCCGCGAAGTAGTTTACACAGACGGTCGAGGGGCCCGCGTGCTGTACGAAGAAACGTATGCACGACATTCGATCGTCGGCTCTACCTAACGCGGCCCAGTGACCCAAATAAGCCGCGGTTTGCTTATGATCGAAGCGGTTTCCATTTCTCCTCGGGCACCAGTCGTGCCCCTCGGAAGAGGGGTCCACCGGCAGAAAGGCGGGTACCTCTTCTTTCACGCTTCTGTAGGTGTGCGCGCACCTGCATGTACACGCAGCCGTATCCGCAAACATCATCGGCGAAATATCCTTACGTTTATATCCGCTATGCACACACACACACACACACACAGTCTTTTTTTATCTGATGACGCGAGCGCGCGCCCCGCTTATTAGATCGTCGTACGGACGATTAATACATCGGGCGAGCGAGCATTGAGTCGTCACAAGTCGCGGACAATAATTCCATCCGCGAGCAATACGTCCACATCGTTTGTTCGAGGGTTCTGGAGCATGACGGGAAATGTGGCAATCCCGAGAGCGAGAGCGCGCATTCGACGTGGCCCGATCGTTATCAGCGAATCTTTCCTGTCGTACGATCGCGCGGTTACGTCATAATGAAGATCGGTGCGCGATTGCGCAACGAGAAATGTCGAGCGTCGGCGGGGGGAGGGAGCATTGCGTAAGACGCGACGAACGCGACGTATTGTCGTTCGCGATTATCGCCGGCGATATTTAAGCGGGGCGACGACGACGTCCTCGGCGATAGATCCAGGAACGCGCGTAATTCCGCGACCGTGCGACCGCCATAAATAACTCTCCCGCGTGGCTGCGAAGTCAGGGACAGCCGCCGCCGCCGTGCCGGAGGGCCTTAATTATCCGGCGAATTCGGATGCGCGGCGATTACTCACTGTCCAACTGTGCTAAATACCGACATTCTTACAATGTCGGCAGAAGCCGGCCGTGTTCCTCCCGTGGAAGGAGTCGCGTTTTAACGGCCACCCGATAAGTCCGTCCGCCGGCACGGAGGGCCCCATTTTTCTACCCCGGCGTTTTCAACGCTTTCGACGTTAACGGTGCGAGCGAAGCTGCCGTACCTATCGAGAATGAGAGTGAGAGAGAGAGAGAGAGAAACGGAGGTTTCGCCAAATATGTCTTCGGCCAAGCGGTGGCTCGCAAATTCGGAGGGAATCGCGAATTCCCGCGAGCGTGAGATAACTATTACGTTCGCGCGCCGTAAAAACTCCGCGACCTTTTCAGAACCGGTTGCACTTTAAAGCGTCATTTCATGTGCATCAGGTCTCGTCTGCTACTTACCCGACAGCTCATTGAAAAACCGAAACGACCGCCGACGAAAGGCAGCCGACTCGACTGACTCGTTGCGTTCCTCGTTTTATTTGATCGTTTTTAGCTTCGAAAGTAATGTCAGGAAATCGACGGTATTATCGGCCAAAGTACTCCGCTTTTGAGCTAAATACCTTTGAAAGTGCACTTTTTCATCCCCAAAGTGGGATTATCGAAAAAGATAATGTCAGTCCCGAATTATTACAGATGATCACTAGAGATTACCGCACTGAAACGGAAAAGTGTGCCACATTCAAGTAAATATTCGCTGATGAGTATATTGGAGTGATTATTTCACTTGGGGATCAAATGTTACTTGAATATGACACTTTTTCCTTTCAATGTAATATATTCAAATAACATTTACCTAAGATAGTCGTAGCGTAAAATGAGTTTTTAAAAAATTCGTTTTTTGAAAGTTGGCGCTATATATAGATTTAAATACCACATCGAATTATTGGCGCTATTAGAAAACGATTGACCATTCGGAAGCTGAAATATTCGCAACCACAGATAACACTTTCATACGTATTCCTTGAGATTAAGTACTATTTCTAACTCTTATTTTTAATTTCCGTTAAACCGCATTAAAAATTTTAATGAAAAACTACTATGATATTAAGGACCAATATAGAAATATTGTACAAAACTTTCAGAATTATTGACTATTTTGTTTTCGTTGAAATTACAGCCAATTTACAGCCAGGAAATTTACCATTTTTAATAATACACGCGATATGAAACTACTGTTGATTTTTAACTACCTGTCATAGGCGTCTCGTCATAGACGAAGTAGACTCAATTGATGCACCGTGTTCGAGCCACCGTTTCCTCTTAATTGCAGATATTATCGTGGCTCTGCAAGAAAGGCGAGGACATCCTGTCGAAGCACGCACAGCACACGGCGACGAGCTTGGCGTCGGCGCGGCTTCACGAGCGGGAATTCGAGAAGTTTTACTTCACGTCGATGGTGAGTACCGCGTAACGTACGCGCCTGACTGTCCCATAGGCGGTTGCTAATGGAATCGAAAGGAGAGTCCCGGGAGGAGGAATTGAGTCGCTCGCCTAAGAGAAGATTTCACTTTTTTCGCGTCCCATTGAGCCGCCCGTCACGCTTCGACGCGAAAGAAATTCCGTCCCGAGGACTCGAAAGGTGGCTGCAATAAGCGAACCGAGATAATAAAGGATTCCTTTGTAACGGGTGGACTGTTGCAGAGAGAGAGAGAGAGAGAGAGACCTTTGCCAAATGCGTGCGCGTGCTCCTCCTTCCTGTTCTCTTTTCTCATTTATTCGCCGACGAAATGAAGGGGCAGCGCGGAAAGAGTCGTCACAACGGCGAGAAAGAAGGGGGAGGGCGGCCAAATGATTATTTCGCGCGCACCTGTAGCACTTAATATGGTCAGGTCGAAAGTGTCCCTGCGTGATACGCGGAGAACGGCAGGAGGTGAGTGACGATGAAGATATCCTTCGAGGTAACTTTACTCGCGCGCACACACACAGACACATACACGCATACACACGTGCATGTATTCACTCCTGCGCGGAATATCCGCGCATATTAAACCGCGCAACTACCGCGCAGGATCAACGGCGGGGGGATTTTAATCCGTCGCCGCGCTTGGACGGTTTCATTTCTCGCCGCTTAATTATTCGTGGAAGCCAAATACGCTCGGGGAGACGGTGCTCTTTATGAGAGAGAGAGAGAAAGAGACTCCCAGCTCATTCGTTTGCATTAATTATCACTCGTTCCTCGAAGGCGGTTCCGCGTGATTTACGTGCGCCGTCAGCGCGAAGCTGACGCGTGACGTTTGTTTAAAAAATATGATCGGTGTAATTTTCGTCCCTCGAGACTCGTTTTTCAGCACACGTAAGTGTGCGGCCCAGGTGTACTCGTGACGCGTTTCTCGGAAAAGAGGAGAACGCCGTGCATGTTGCGCACTTTACTGAGAATGTTCACGAAAGTTGCCCCCTTCGATTCTTTTTGTCTTTTACTTGAATACGCTCGGACTTGTTAGTCCGATTAAAATGCCCGGTATCAGATCTCGTATTTCAGATTGTCCCCAGTTTATCTGCGGATGCTTCGCAGCCGATGAAATGAGCCGTACAGCATCTGAAAGTGAACTTAAGATGATCTTAAATATAAGATCTATAAATATCGCTCTAAGCGATGAAGTAATTTGTCGCTGCCTCTTTCGAAGTTCATATTCGCTGTTTTCAAATGGATAATTTTTTTTTCATATTCCTCGCAAACGTAATACCGGAAGAATCAGATCACAAGATTCGTTCAAAGCCATTCTGACAGACTCCCGCATTACCCATAGTACTTGGCGAGTAGAAAATAGCTTCAACAGGTCACTGTATTACCAACGGGTCTAATCTCTCTCTCTCTCTCTCTGCCCACTCGGTAACAGGATCCTTTCTCCGTATATCTTCGCACGTGGCATGTCCCTCCTTCATTCACAGCATGTCTTTCCCTCATAGGGACGTTTACTTACGCCTCGAAATCTCTTTTCACACAAACCTCGTGGAGGTTTGAAAACGGACAGATTATTAGAGATAATTTTTAAGTCGGGATCCCCGGACTTTCTGTGATCGGTAAGTCGATCATCTAATCTCATGGCGCCGCCTGCCGGGTTTCCTCCGGGTGTGCTTCCCCGCGATCTTCGTAACCGACCGAGCGCGGCGCGCAAATTGAAACATACTATGCGCTGTAACTAGCAACAGTTATTCCCCCTACGAGGTCTGCTGTCTGTTGTTGAACGGCGGAATCTCACCGGCGCTGTTTAATGGACCGATCCGATCGTGGCCATTAATTTCGAGACGCGGAGCCCGCTTCACTAGGTAGATTCCGCAATTAGAGTCACCTATTACACCTACCCATCTGGCGGAACGGATAATGGATAGTAGTCGATTAACACCGTGAAACGCAAGTGAAACTTGAATAGGTATGTTACTAAGTGCATACCGATGTCCCTTCTTATCAATCGACGCTACGCTAACGTGTCCGCGAATAATCACTTCCGTTCTCTGATAATGAACCGTTTGGCGGGACTCGCGTCGCGGCCTCGACGTTTCTTGACGTTTTCTTGAAGCATCACCCGTTACTTACGCGATTTCTTAAGCATCTTTTCACCTGCCAACGAGAAGGTTATCGTCGAGCTACGATTAAATTGACGNCCCCCCCCCCCCCCCCCCCAATTAGATATTAAGTAGTTATATAAGGAAGAAATTAACTTCAATTTGTCGGCAATTGATATTTTACTAAGTCCAGAAGGGCAATTATCCATATGTGAGAAATATTTGGAAAAAACACTCTTCGCGTAAATTACACTTTTGCGCGGGAATTAGACACGTCGCGAAGTGAAAGTACATGCTCGACGCTTGATAGCAATTATTAATTACGCATTAATATCCGCGAAACGTGAACGCGAGTATCCGAGTAATCGCGACAAAAGAGAGCGCCAGGACGGATAGCCGGCGCGGCGGCGCACACTTTTGAGAGGTTAATTAAACACGATTACGTGACATTCGGCGCGGCAATTAAACGGGAACCGATCGTCAAGTGTTACGCTATCGGCGTTACGCGACGAGTCACAATTTAGCACGGTAATAATACGGTGCGCGACCGGCCCGGCCTCTCGCGTTCGTCGTCGGGAAATTTATTGCGAAAGAAATCGACGTTCCGCGCGGCGTTTTTCCTCTTTGCGAAAGACTAAACTTTCTCCCGGCCGGCAGCGCCGAAGTATTACGCGCGGTTTTCGAGACGCAATAAAGGTCCGTCGATGATCCGGACAGTTGTTACTTAATTAATCAGTTTCACGGCGATATGAAACGTCGGGCGAGCGCGATCTCAGCGAGATATAAAAGCCGGTCGGTCGCTGCGAAACTCTCGGCCGCAGAACGTTAATTAATCACGTTGCACCCACTTCAATTATCCGTTTCATGCGAGAGATGCATTTCGGGCGCGCGTGGGTCATTATCCAAAAACGTACCTGTCCCTCGTGTACCCACCCCGTTTCCTCTTTTTTTTTTTCTCTCTCCTTTTTCACCTCTTTCGCGGCCCAATGACCCCCATTGCGCTACCCACACGCTGTCATAATTGTCACCGATTATTGCCGCGACGGTCGAAAAAGCGTATTATTTGGGTCATCTTGACGGAACTGGAACGGAGTTATTGGCGATTTATTATTGAACGATCCGCGCTTCGATCCCGCACGACGACGAGAGGCGCGGTATATATGGAGCAGCGGAGTAATTACACGACGGTCGCTCCGGCGGAGCGGATCAATCGGAGTCGCCGGGAATTTAATGACGAGAAAAAAAAACTAAAAATCGAGCCCGCGTCTATTTCGGAAGAGTGATATTCGCGCGGTGATATCGTCACCAGCTTCGGTCGATCGACGACACGATCCCGCATCAGTCGGATTTATCTCATGTCTTGCTGAAGGGAATCAGCTCCGCGAAACGATACTCTTTCAAACGTAACTCGGGTATTTTTTTCGTCGACGAATATCGCGTGCATATTCACGATGTGACAGTACCGATGTGCAATGCAGTCGCCGATAAGAACGCGAAGCTTATCGAGAACGGGCGAGTGTGTGAGGTAAGCGGCGAGAAATAGCTCGCACGACCGTTGACGAAATGTCGCTGAGGACGACGCCGGCTATGTACACGGTGGGACGCGAACAAATATCGACGGAGTGTCAAGGTGGGCTGGAAGCACACTCGCGGCAACGTACACGGTCGTTCTCGTAACCCAATTACATAGCGCAACGCCCAGCGGAAGAGGCGAGGAAGTCACGCCAGGAATAAGAACGCGGCATTATGCCGGCGCCCGTAGCCGGCGATCGCGATTCACGTGAAATCACGCGGGGACGATTCTGCTTCTCGGAGAGAAATCCCAATCGGCCTTAGAAACGTCGCCGTTGCTGTCGAGGCGTGCGATTGTTGCGGGTGTGTATCCGCAAGGTCACTCGACATCGATGGGCGCAGCGTGTATCGCGAGGAATTCGGTAGGAATTTCGTATCGATCGATCGTGAAAGTGGCGAAAGTTGGGCAACCGGAATGCCACTTGGCACGGAGGAAAATGGAAATATAGAATTTCATTCGCGAGCGTTTTTTAACGCAAATTTTATGTCGCCGCGGCGAGATCAGTTACGTCGGCAGCAAAATGATTTCTCAAGAATACTAATTGCCATTTCTGCTGGATTATCTTGGTGGATCTACAAATTATTCCCTTTTTTTTTGTAATTATTTTGCCGTAAGAACAAATCGGTAAATGTATGGAAACACTATTTTGTTCGAACAGCAAATTAACTTGTATCAACGACAAATTCACTTACGTCCGTTTCTACCGTCAGTCCGGGTTGAAATCCAATCGATGATTGACTCAACGAAACTGGCCAATTCAATTTGCATTGGCCAATTAGCCGAACCGATCAGTACGATTGGCCAATTCTACGGAGTAAATCGTCGATTAGACTTAAGCCACGACGGTAGAAGCGTACATTAGCGGAATATTTTCTATCTCGGCAATAAAACTGTTTCTGCTCTAATTACGAGTAATTTGCTAATTTGATTACACCGACTAATTTTTACCACTGTCGCAACGAACGTAACGCAGTAGCAACGACGGTTTCACTACAACCGCAAAATTATTCTCCCCCACAGTACAGTAATTTGACAATGGTGCCTGGGCGACTTCCTTTTACGTGTATCTCTCGATATTAATTACGTCGATATCTACGCGTAGGAGGTGCTCGTTGTTGCGACGTTACATCCGGCAGACGTGCCCGGCCGTGGGGCGCGTGTCGCGAATCGTGAATCGGGAAACCGTTTCAAAATCCAATTGCAAAAGCGCGAATCGGCACAAGGCGGTTATGCTCGTTAGCTCGCCGTAGCTCCCTTAGCCGGGACGCAACTTTCCATCATAATCGGCCCGTCACGCGATAAATCAAGGTGAAGAGATG